ATACAAAAATTAATTCAAGATGGATTAAAAACGTAAACATTAGACCTAAAACCATAAGAACCCTAGAAGAAAACCTAGGCAATACCATTCAGGACACAGGCATGGGCAAGGACTTCATGACTAAAACACCAAAAGCAATGGCAACAAAAGCCAAAATAGACAAATGGGATCTAATTAAACTTAAGCGCTTCTGCATGGCAAAAGAAACTACCATCATAGTGAACAGGCAACCTACAGAATGGGAGAACATTTTTGCAATCTACCCATCTGACAGAGGGCTAATATCTAGAATCTACAAAGAACGTAAACAAATTTACAAGAAAAAAAACAAACAACCCCATCAAAAAGTGGGCAAAGGATACGAACAGACACTTCTCAGAAGATGACATTTGTGCAGCCAACAGGCACATGAAAAAATGCTCATCATCACTGATCATCAGAGAAGTGCAAATCAAAACCACAATGAGATACCATCTCACACCAGTTAGAATGGCAATCATTAAAAAGTCAGGAAACAACATGCTGGAGAGGATGTGGAGAAATAAGAACGCTTTTACACTGTTGGTGGGAGTGTAAATTAGTTCAACCATTGTGGAAGACGGTGTGGCAATTCCTCAAGGATTTAGAGCTAGAAATATCACTTGACCCAGCGATCCCATTACTGGGTATATAGCCAAAGGATTAAAAATCATGCTACTATAAAGACACATGCACACGTATGTTTATTGCAGCACCATTCACAATAGCAAAGACTTGGAACCAATCCGAATGACCATCAATGATAGACTGGATTAAGAAAATGTGGTACATATACACCACAGAATACCATGCAGCCATAAAAAAGGATGAGTTCATGTCCTTTGCAGGGACGTGGATGAAGTTGGAAACTATCATTCTCAGGAAGTTATCACAAAGACAGGAAACCAAACACTGCATGTTCTCACTCATAGGTGGGAACTGAACAATGAGAACACTTGGACACAGGGCAGGGAACATCACACACTAGGACCTGTCGGGGGGTGGGGGCTGGGGGAGAGATAGCATTAGGATAAATACTTAATGCAAATGACGAGTTGATGGTTGCAGCAAACCAACATGGCACATGTATACCTGTGCAACAAACCTGCGCATTCTGCACATGTACCCTAGAACTTAAAGTATAATAATATAATAAAATGAAACAAAAACAATTTATTTCTACTAAAAAAAAAAATTGACAAAGGTAGCTACACTCAACAACAGATATTCAATGTAGATAAAAGAGCCTTCTATTAGAAGGTGTCATCTAGGACTTTCATAGATAAAGAGGAAAAGTCAGTATCTGGCTCCAAAGGACAGGTTGACTCTGCTGTTAGGGGCTAATGCAGTTGGTGACTTGATATCAATGCTCGTTTACCATTCTGAAAATCCCAGGGACCTTGAAAATTATGTTAAATCTACTCTGCTTGTGCTCTATAAGTAAAACAACAAAGCATGGATAGCAGCACGTCTGTTTACAACATGGTATACTGAGTATTTTAAGCCCAGTGTCGAGCCTACTGCTCAGAAAAAAAGATTCCTTTCAAAATATTACTGTTCATTTAAAATTTGTTTCCATGCCTGCTAACACAACATCCATTCTGAAGCCCATGGATCAAAGAGTAATTCTGACTTTCAAGTCTTATTATTTAAGAAATACATTTTGTAAGGCTATAGCTGCCATAGTGATTCCTCTGATGGATCTAGGCATTGCCATTAAGAACATTTGTAACTTGTGAGAGGAAGTCAAAATATCAACATTAACAGGAGTTTGGAAGATGTTGATTCCAACCCTCATGAATTACTTTGAGAGGCTCAAGACTTCAGCGGAGCAAGTAACTGCAGATGTGGTGGAAACAGCAAGAGAACTAGAAGTGATATGTAAAGATGTGACTGAGTTGCTGTAATCGTATGATAGAACTGAAGAGATGAGAAACTGATTACTACAAGTAGCAAGAAAACTGTTTCCCAAAATGAAATCTACTTCTGATGAAGATGCTGTGAACATTGTTTTTGTAGAAATAACAATGTTTTTAGAATATTACATGAAATTGTTATATAGCAGTGGCAGGGTGTGAGAGGGTTGACCCAATTTTGAAAAATGTTCTACTGTGAGTAAAATGCTATCAAACAGCATCATGTGCTACAGAGAAATCTTTCTTGAAAGGAAGAGTCGAAAGAAGCAGCAAACTTCATTATTGTCTTAAGAAATTGCCACAGCCACCCCAGCCTTCAGCACCTAGCATCCTTATGTCAGCAGCCATCAATATCAAGGCAAGACCCTCACCAGCAAAAAGATTCTGATTCACAGAAGGCTCAGATGATTGTTAGCATTTTTAGCAAAAAAGCATTTTTAAATTAGGGTATGCATATTTTTTAGACATAATGAGATTGCACATTTTATAGACTTTAATACAATGTAAGCATAAATTTTATACATACTGGAAAACCAAAAAATTCATGTGACCTGTTTTATTGTAATATTAGCTTTATTGTAGTGGTCTGGAACCAAACTTCAGTATCTCCAAGGTATGCCTGTATATAGATAGATATTGGTATACATATATGTGAATGGTATATACACTTTGTGTGTGTGTACGTCTGTATATACACACTTTGTGTGTGTGTGTACATGTCTGTATATACACACTTTGTGTGTGTGTATACATGTCTGTATATACACACTGTGTGTGTGTACATGTCTGTATATACACACTTTGTGTGTGTGTACATGTCTGTATATACACACTTATATATGATTTATCTATCTAGTTTTATAACATCTCTTTTCAAAATCCCCTTAACTTGCCACCGACTACAGGATACAATAAGGGAAAGTATTCAGCACTCTCAAATTTCAGTCCCTCACTACAGCCCATTTGTCCTGTGCTATTATCCACTGCCAGGATGCATCAGGTCCTGTGCACTCTGGCACATACTGTTCATTCTAGGTGTAAGAACCTTCTCCCCACAGCCACCACTTTTCTGTCCAAATTAAGTCTACTGCCTCACCCTTCATCCTTGCATCTATCCCACAACTCTCCATCTCCCACCACCTTCACAATGAATTTCTACAACCACCACATTGTGTAAGATAAGGGACTCAGTGTCTCCAAATACTATACAGTGTGACAGGGAAAAGCTGAAAATGTTAGTGCAGCCATATTGTCATCCCACTAAGGAACTATTCTTGAAAGTTTGAGAAACTTTCTGGTCACCAATATGCACGGTTGCTACTTGAGTTCTCTAAAGTTAACAATCACAAATGCACTCAAATAATATACATGTATTAATACATATAAACAAAAACTACAATTTCATAGAACTCTTTACTATCTTCAACCACCAACACCTAGCCCTGTTCCTGATGTGGACTATAGAATAATTATGAGGCATGCCTCTATTGAGACATGAGGCCAAACCAGGAGCAGGCAGTGGACAGATGCTTTGGGCTCCAGAGGTTAGTCCCTGAAACCCTTTTCTCCTCATTGGCTAGTGTCCTTAAATATAGAAAGCAGTCCAATTGACCTTGCGGAAAACCACCAATTTTTATCACAAAACACAATATTCATCTGCCCAAATAAAACTCTGAAAAAGAATGTGACATGAGAAGCGCTGAAGACACTAGTTCAAAGTCATGTCCCAGACATTCTTGAGAAATTTATGCAAATAAATATATTATTTTTTAGTAATACCACTCCCTTGACAAAATTTCTGATTTGAAGTTAATTCCTAGTGATAAAAGGACAGTACAGAAACTTGCCGCAAATGAATTACCACAGGAATAACCAGCTATCCTGGGAGGTGCCTGCTGCATTTGGCACCTTGTCTCTGCTCTCTTTAGGTTTTCTTACATGTCAACTTAAACAACACCTAATACATTAGTACTAGCTATTACATAGTGCTGATGCTAATACATAGTGCTTCGTGTCAGGCATTCTTCAAAGCACTTTGCATATATCCCATTTACCACAATTCTAGAGGTAGATACTTTTATTCCCACTTTACAGATGAAAACTGAGACATAGAACAGCTGTGGCCTAAGATGTGATGATTTATTTCCTCCTTAGACAAAATGGATTGCTCCCCATTACCTAAAGTATAGAGCCCAAATTCACAGCCCTCGAATTGCTACTCAACCTCCCATTCTGACTTTTTCCCAATATCCCCTCCCAAAACTCCCCATAACCCTGAAGTGCCATCAAATATTGTCCCATCATTGTGCCCATGCTAAGGACAGATGTGGTACAGTAGTAATCTTATGTTGCTGCAAACGTGTTTTTAGCCTGATTAATTTAAACTTGAGACAGAATTTACAAGTCAGATTTCATATTAAAAATCAGATATACAGTTACTGGGACTTCTTTTAGAATCCTATCTGGAATTCTAAGGGTCTATGCACAAACTGTGAATAGAAACTATCAGTTGGAGCACTGTAGCAGGTGTCTCCATTGGACATCTCCATTTGTTCACAGTTGCCATCAGTCACACAAAGCATGCCAGTTTCACTTGCTTCCGTTACTGACCTGGCCTCTAAAGGCCTTCAACACATTGCCCTAAAACCATCTTTTGCCTACTTAAGTCTCCCTATCCTCCAAGACTAAGCTCAAATGTCACTGCCTCTCATAAGTATTTCCTAATTATTCCAGCTGAAATTTATCTCCAGCTTCTGAATTCCCCCTAGCATTCTGCTTATTATGACACATCACACTCTGCTTTGTAATTAGTTGTGTATATGCTTCCGTAACAACAAGGTAGAAACTGAGTCAAGGTTAGGTAACCAATTCTGTGATATTGGGCAACAAAACTGAACACAGCACCTTGTGTTCTAGGATTTGAGCCCTAGATAAATAAAACAGCATTAGCACATTGAAAAGGGTAGAGAGAAGTGACTTTACACACACACACACACACACGCACACACTCTTCACTCTTCATGCCCCTCTGCCTACTGTTTATGTAAAAATCATGAGACAACTTGATGAATGTGTTATTTTTTTAATAGAAACCACATCACTTCATATGTTACAGCATGTAATTCAAGAGGGTCCCAGAAAGTATTTTCATCCACAAAATAACGGAAAGGATAAGAACCCGCACCACCCAAGCCTTTGGTTCATCTTTTTTGTTTTGATCTCTGTTCTCTTACCACAATGACATGCTGCTTCCAGAATGGAACTCTGTCTTTAAGTTCTATACTAGTTAGGAGGCTAGTCTATCAGCTTGCCTTAATAACGTAATGGATGTCCTAATTTAACTGAGGAACCTGGACAAGTCTTCCTTGATTTCAGCTTCATCCCAAGGCCCATGAATGTTTTCTTTAAAAAGCTGCAAGCGAATGAGGTAGAATGGACAGAGACATGAGATAGACATCAGCAGAAGGGCAAAGAGTATGGCTCCCACAGCACTGATGGACAGTAGGCCTCCTAAGGCTGAAAATGCAAAGAGCAGTGTGACCCCCACATAGCTCCGGGGAGTACATGCCTTTAGTTTCTTCTGTAACATGGGCCATAGGGCAAAAATCTGAATGGCAAACGTCACCATGATGAAGGCATGCAGGGACCGGGGAAGACGTGAAGCCAAGCATACAGAAGCAAAGATGGCCATGTTCAAGGATAGCGTGCTGGACACAATGGCAGCATTGGCACCATAGTCAAAAAAGATGAGGTGGCCTAACAGCATGAAGACTGACATGGCATAGATGGTGTCAGTGCTGACAGACTCTGTAAGGGTTTTCAGCACTGGTGAAAACCCATAAGTGAAAGTAATGAAGACTAGGGCACTCTTCAGGTCAGCCCATCGGGTCTGCCCACTCTTCTTCCGCCCTTCACCTCCATCAATGAGATCAAACAAAACATACCCAATCAGTGAAGAAGCCAGGCCAGTCCCAAAAAGCCAATGGGGGGCCAGAAGACCCTCATCCATATACCACCAGATAACCACAAAAACACAAACACTGCACAGCTGCTGGATCACTACACTGGACTCAAATACCACAGCCCAATATTGGTATTTCCGAGCATGGATGTTTTTCCGGAGCTCTTCCAGGAATCGCCGGTCCACATAGTTATCAGGAAAGGGCTGTCGCTCATACAAGACCTTCTGCCACTTGACCTCCTTGGTGCTAGTTACAGGTTGGGCACACATTATCCTTTCATTCAAACTCAGGCCAGTTTAATCATCGCCCTCACAGAAGTCCAGGTGGTTCTTGTTCTTTATGAAGTTTTGAAATGAGACCTCCCTGGAAATTCCATGCTGTGGTTGATGTTCTATCAACCTTTCCTTGTTTTCAAAGGCAGCAACCCAGGCTAGGCCTACAACAGATGAATTTGTCTCTGAGGCAGGACAACACAGCCAAGTTCCTAGAAAAAGAGAGACTGTGAACCTACAAAAGTTGTGAAAGGTCAAGAGTAGTACTGAGTTAAAGTCAAATCAACTCAGTTTACTAAAAGTCTGAGCAAAATGTATGTGGTAGTCACCTTATTAATTTGGGACATTAAAACTGCATTTCAGACTTGAAAATTATAATTCCTTGAATAATAAAAGACATCTGTTAGCTATCATTTATTGAGTGCCTACTATGTGCTAAATGCCTTATGTATCTTCTTTCACTTAATCCTCACAACCTTGCAAGTTAGTATTAGTCCTGCTTTGGTAAAAAAGCTGAGATTCAAGATGCTTAAGTAACTTTGCCCTAAAGTAACAGAGCAGAGCCAGGATTCAAACCAAAGTCTTATCCCAAAGCCTGTGTCTGACATTGTATCTCCCTCTAAACCAGTTCTTAACTCAATGGTTCACATACCCCTTCGGTGTATCACATTGCATGTTTATATCCGGATTTGTGTGAATTTATACGGATAATATCCATAGCTTTTATTGGTTCTCAAAGGCATGTTATATTTTTTAAATTACCAATCCAAAGACAATAGTAAGCTGCACCATACAGAAAGGTATGAGCTCTACAGTTTGTTTAGCCAAAATCAAAGACTCAAAGAAACTAGACTCTTCTTCCATTAGCTGAGCTTAGCATCCTTTAAAGAGCTATCAGTCTACTCAAAACAAGGAAACTCTTGTGAGGATCCAGAAAGGTAATCATCCCTTTTTCACAATGAGAAAACTAAGAGTCAGAAACACCACAGGCATCCGGCAAATTTGAGGAAAAAAAATTTCATATTGCCCGACTTTATTTCTTCCATGAAGACCACGACAAGTGTTGCTTGGCAGGCCAGACACCGTTACCCCGCTCTCTGCAGCGGGGATCCCAGCCCGGGAATCTTAAGGCCGCCGCCGAGGCTGGAGGGTTCGCGACGCCCAAAAGGGCAGCGCCCGCCCGCAGAGTGGGGCTGGGAGGGGACAGGGTAGGGTAGGGTAGGGTAGGGTGACCCCAGGGGTGCGCCTTCACTCTCCGGGCCTCCCACTCCAGCCGCCACCCCTCACTCAGCCTTGAGCCTGCGAGAGACAGCAGAGGAGAAGGAGCCCCGGAAACACTGACAGTTACACGGAACCCACCTGCCCGAGAGTTCCTAGGGATGCGCAGCTGGGGGACGGCGGCACCCAGCCTTTTTCCCGCTCCGGGGCGCAGGGGCTGCGACTGTGGCGGAGCACTTCCGGGTCTGCCGCAATCTCCTCAGCGAGAGCACCCTTCCCCAGCCGGAACCATCGCGACGTGGCTGCTGCCCCCTCCTGGCTGCTCAGAGGACCTCCGGACTCCTCTCCTGCAGACTGGCCCAAACCCGAATGCTCTGAGCCTAGGAAGGCAAATCTCCAGCAATCCCCTATTGAAAGATGGGATGTGCCATCTGAAGGGCTGGGTAAGGCAGGAGAGGACAAGGAAAGAGGCTGGGCCAGTGGGTGAGAGATAATGGCAGCTTTTGTTGCGCTCCTTTTATTAAGTCAGGCCCTCAGCTGGGACTTCCCATGCATCCATGCGTTCATTCCACAGATACTGACTGAATGCCTGCAGGTAACAAGCCCTCCTTGGGGGTGCTCATGATACAGCCGTGAATGAAACAGACAAAAATTGCTGCTCTCATGAAACTCTCTTTTTTGGTACATTGACCTTTACACTGATTATATCATCTTCTCCCTCAAAGAGGACAAATCTAAGGCTCAGATAAGTTGAATTTGTCCAAGGACAGGCACCTGGGAAGTAGATGAACAGAGATCAATATCCAGTTGTCCATAGATTCAAAGCTTGGTTCTTTCCTCTTTAACTCCTAAAAGAGGAAAGGAGAAGATTGCTAATTAAACTGAGTTCATAGAAATATTAAAGGATGTATAAACGAAGGAAATAATAAACAAAGGGATGTAGTAAAACACGGGATACAGTGGATACAAAAGTCAGAAAACATGACCCATTTACTAGCTCAGTGACTCAAGGCAAATCACACTACCTGACCTTGGATTTCTTCATTAGTAAAATGGAGATGACATTATTTGCACTTGGCTACTGTATAAGATGGTCAAAGAGTCAAATATAAAATATAAAAATGTTTTGTAAAGTGTTCACTATATGGCTGCTATTAGCTGACTTCGGCCATCGTAATGATAGCAATGTTTAAGTGTGATACATTCTGTAAAATGTTCTCTATTTCCCTCTAGGCTTCTGTTGCAAAATTTGACAAGATTCCTTGGCTTAGTGAGGCCAGCCTCGTAAACAAGCCACTAGTGCTCAGCCTCCCCAGAAGGTAACCTCTCAGCCACTGAGGGCAAAAGATTTACGAAACATCTCACAGAAGATGATTTCTTCTTAAGGGATGATAATTATACAATTATCAGAGGGTGCATTTGATCCATTGAGAAACTCAAGTCAAGTGCTTTAAAAATAGAAATATTCCAGGTTTCTCAGACAAAAATGATCACTGAGTATAGATCTGGCTAGAGGAGATGAGATCTCAAATTATTTCCCTCTACCACTCAACAGTATAAGATAATTTTGTCGCTAGACACTGTCACTTAAAACACTTCCATCCTCTTTCTCACCCCACCTTTTCTCCACTGCTGTAGTCTGAAATTTTCACATTTTTACCATCAAAAGTCTAGAACAGTAAGTTCCCATCTTTATAGAATAGTAACTCTGTATGTAACTTTGAGGTACCCTCCTACAATCTTGTTAGTCCTATTCCTTCCAGACAGACTACTATGTGACACATACATCTATTTTTCAAAATTGCAGGAATTACATGTCTAGGGAGCATTTCAGCTGTCTCTTGAAATTATTGGGTTACCATGTTCCTTCTCCATTTTTGATGAAATGGTTCCTAAGTGTAGTGATAAACCCCACTCTGGAAAGGGGACATGGACAGAAGGGTAGGTGTGAAGCAGTGTTGGGGTAAATGAAAGAAACCAGAAGGAGGGCAAAGAAAAGGTAGGCATAGAGGCCATTCCAAAGGTACATGACAGACAAAAAAGGATCCACTCCTTGGCATGTGAAACAGCTTGTTAGAAAAGCCAGACTCCCCGAAAAGGGTTTCTCCTCCTGTTGATAACTACCATGTACCCTCCTGCCCATGGATAAATGACTTCGTGAGCGAATTCCCATCACTACCTCCACATCCCCACTTTAGTAACACGTACCCTTACTTTGTCTACTCTACTTTAAAAAAAAATCACATTCTCAGTAAATAGGTACAGTTTTATGTATTTTCAGAACAAAATTCACAAGTGCTTTCAATTATTTTCATTATTCAGTTGTGTTGCTTTTACATAATTTTGAATAAGTCTAAAGCAGATTTTCAGAGGTTCAATAAACTCAAAGGCCTATTTAAGAAACAAAAGCACTAAGTGACAGAGGGCTTATTAAGAGTTGTTAATGCTACATGGATCAGCATGAGTAAGGATAGTCTAGCATATTTTAATTGAGGGTGGGACACAAACTCACAGGCCCATGACAGTGAGATGAGGGGCATAATGAGTACAGCTGGCCAAACAGGACTGCAGTGAATGGAAATCACCTCCCCACTTCAGCCCACCCGCACCCCAGCAGTGTTACCTGCAGGCATGTGAGTCCAGAGGCCAGATCCACTGGGTCTTCTAATAGTACTAGAAATCTGGATGTTTTATGTGAAATTGCTAGTGTTTGATCTAATAGGGTAATATCCCACCATCCCATACTACCCCCATGTCCATTAGACCTGCCCCAGCAGCCAAGAGCAAAGCATCCTTGTGCATGGCTCTCTTGCCCCCAGCTCCCTTGGTCTCTAAGTATATAAGCCTTTGGCAGAGGGTGAAGATCAGGGAGAAGGGTAGGCCCAGAATACAACTGGCCTTCCGCAGCACCTGTTCAATTTCACAGCCAGGTCCTGGAGGGTCAGAGCAGACAGTCTGTTGACAGCCAACTGGAAAGGGAGTGGGTAGTTTTTCCTCCAGCCAGCCAAACCTAGGCTAGGCACAAGAAGAAATTACCTTAGGCAGGCAGTGAAGCTCTACTCATCGCTATTCTGGGAGGATTGGGGTAGCAATCTCAATTCTTGTTTAGAAAAATGTAATACACCTACCTTACAACAAAGGTGACCGAACAGCACCTCTGAGGTGCCCTGAACTCTCAGGAGGACAAGACAGGAATGTAAAGTCTTTTGAAAGGATGGTTTAAGTATCAACAGATCTTAAGGATTAAAAGCTCCTCATGTGGGACAAAGCTCTGGGTTCCAAGCTGTTTATTTTTGGCAAAGCCCCTTACTGAGACTTTGGGAGAAAGTTCTCAATGTGCCTTAAGCGTTACATACCCTTGAGCAAAGAGTTCTAATGCAGAACAGTCTGAAAAAGATAAAGGAACATTTAGCCAAATATGCTCAGAGTAATTCCAGCTGTGCGCAATGGAAACACACCTGCGCAGTTGGAGGAGGTGCGGCTGGGCTGTAATAAGAAGTGCCTGTACTGACCCACTTCCTTCAAGGACTCTCTCAGGTTGGCCTGACAATTTCGAAGCCACCCTCATCGTCAGTCTCCAAAGCCCTTCAAGTCACACTAAGGTCCTGTTTGTATAAGATTATAGTGTGCTGAAGGAGTTCTAAGCTGGCCTCCTGGTCTCTCCTCATCAGCATTTGGGTGACAAGTCCAAGACAGTCTATTCCCATATCAAAGACAAAGACCCTGAGGGCACTGATGTCAGACCCACCGTCTCTGGTCTCACAGGGTCCAGGGAAATGTGGGGAGAAATGAAACAAGAAATGCCTCATGAACATCAAACCCCTTCCACACGCCTTTGTTTTAAATGAACAATGGACAATGAAATCTTTCCTCATTAAAGAGGAGATGTGTTCCCGGCAAAACTGCCAGCATTCTGAGTTTCTACTTCTTGGATGCCAGGGGCATGAATGGTGCCACACACACAGTTTATGATTATCAGGCCCCTGCAGGTCTTGGCCCGGTACACTGTAATGAAATGAACCACAGTACCAAGTGAGACAGAGCGCAGGCAAGTCACCCTGTAAAAAGAACTGGTGTTCTTGCAACATCACTGCTTCAACTGATAACTAGAAAGAAAAAATGTTGCAAAGGAAAAGAACGGGTGGAGGGAGAAGACGTTCTGTGGGAGGAAACAGGTGGATTGTTTCAGGGTGCAAGGACACAAACTCCAAGAAGTCAGCCCAGGTATGAAAGGGGACAGGCACAGGTGAGACATCGGAAACTTGAGTGCAGACCCTTTGAAAGAGAAAACCTGGGATTCGTTTTGCTCATTACACGTCTACTGTTGTGAACAATCTTTATCCTGCCTTGTTTGTACACTGACAATCCAAAATTGGTTAGTGCAAAACAAAAGGGACAGAAAAGCCAAAGTGACATAGGAGGGCAAATCCATCTTTTGGGAGCTCCTCAATGGCCTGAGTCCTCCAGAACTGGAGTGGAAGGCAGCTCCCTGTGGTGTCCCTTGTATTCTCTCAGAAACAACCAAGGGCCTGGCTCTTCAAATGGGGGACTGTGGTTCTAACTTTCTCTTGTTTTAATTACTTAGATATCCTCCTTCCTCTGCGACTTTTCTGACTTCGTCCAAGAGGAATATGAATTTGCCAATTTTGTTTCAAGTTCCAGATGTTTTATCTAAGGTATTCAAAAATTTTTATCGAAAACAACAGCAGTTCTAGAATGACATAGAATATGAATACATGTCTCATCTCCTTAGCACAGCCCTGCGCTTGGTGCACCATCAGTGTTCAATAAATATTTGTTAAATGAAGTGAATGGCCCCACCCCCCTCACTATGTCTCAAGTGCCTAAGGGCCCCAGTTCACTAGAACTAAGAATACAGGCATAAGGTTAGAATCAACAGAACAGGAAACTAAAATGAGTATGGAGGAATCTGCCCCAAGACTTCCAGGCAATGCCTATCAGCTTGTGACTGGAACCAATCAGGAATCTCTAATGCCTCCCCCAAAGGAATGTTTATGTCTCCCACCTGCAACTCCTGACACCTGTGGAATTTTACATTAAAAACTCCTCATTTCCCCTCCACCGTGACCGGCTGCCAAGTGACCCTCAGTGTCACTGTGGAGCAAGCACACAGGCTACAGGGCTCGGGTAGTCAGCACCTTCCTGAGGTGGAGAAAGAAAGAAAACATATGGTGAGATAAGCAGTTTTTTTCACCTGAAAAATTGCACATTCCTCACAGGGCTGTCATAGGCAGTGCCTGAAGCAGCGGCCTAAGGCACTTGATACGGTGCCCCACCCAGAGCAGGAGCTCAGTGAATGTGAGCCACAATTATTAGGAGCCCTGGTGTCAGTCAATAAATGCTTACAGAGGACTTTGTATTTGCTTTAATACATCAGAGATGAGTAAGTCAGCCACAGCTATGCAGATGAGTGAGCAGACAGGACGGGGACACAACTGAGAATGCGTCTCAGAGATGCGGCACAGCACTTGTGAGAGAAGGTGGGAACAAAGGTTACCCCCAGGTTGGGCAAGCAGAGTGGGAGTGAGGGAATGATTCAAGAGGAAGTGGCATCTGCATTGGATCTAGAAGATACTGTTTTCAAGTGGAGGGAAGAGCCAGGGGTGGAGGAAGAACTGGAAAGAGGAGAAGATTATCAGCAAAGAGGTGGAGACCGAGTGTGCAGGAGGAAATGCCTGAAGAATATCAAGGAATTATGAGCATACATGAAAGGGAAACAAGGACACAGCTGGGCCCAGCTAATGCATACAGGGCCCAACAGACAAAAGCAGAGAGGACACATTGAAGGTTTTCAACACCGGAGTGTCAGGGTCCAAGCTTTGCTTAA